TAGATTTACCAGAAGGGCAGATAGGGGGGAATAGATGGGGGTCCTGACAGCACAGTGGACAGTGGCAGGGATGAAAGAGTATGGAGGCTCTAGTGGGAGAGGAAGGCTGTCTATCTGATGAGTTTATATTCATGCTCAGATGCAAAGGAACTCAGAAAGTAAGCGACCAGTAATAGTCATATATATAGAGATTAGAAATGCATGTGAAAACGTCTCAATGTCAATTGCCTTAAAATGAATTTTTCTGTATATGAAACTGTATTTTAACAACGAAGTGGAGATCTTTTTTAAACGTTAAAAAATATATATATATAAATGATAGTAAATGTGAAAAAAATTCAGACAAAAGAGTTAGGCATAGTATTTTCAAGATGTCAAACAAAATTAAGAATGTGTAAACGATTATACGTTGCACAGTACCCCAATAAAATGTCACAAATTAAAAAACTGCATTTGATTTGCAGTTAGTTGAATCCATGGATATGGAGGGCAGACTCTACTCATAATGCTGGCATTAGAAATAGCTGATCTGCTTTATACAAACATTTTAATTATAAGTTCCAACTTGGAGTCAAGCTTTCTCATTTGCTTTTCGAGCTGCAGGGGAGAAGGGATATACAATAATTACGCTTTTAGGAACTGGTTCATCTAACAGTTGAGAACTACAAGGTAAGAGATTTATAAATAAGAAATCACATCACAATGCTACCACATCACAATGCTAGGCAGCAACACTATACAAAAAGACTTTACAAATTCAATTGTTTCCATTAAGAAAAATTATTATTCAAACCAAATGATATATTTCCTAAAGGAAGGTAAAAGCACAATGCTGAAAAATAAAACAATCTAAAATTATGTTCAAATTACTCATTCTAAAATGAGAGAAAAAGAGGAAACATAGGTAGAGGCAACCCAAGTGTCCACAGACAGATGACTTATCAAGCAAAATGTGGTCTATGAGCACAATGGAATAAAGGAAGAAAATCATGGCACATGCTGCAATATGGATGAACCAACAGGACAGCATGCTAAGTGAAAAGAGCCAGCAAAAAAAAGACAAATGTCATGTTATTACACAAAAAAATTACAATAGGTTCATAGAGAAAGAAAAGGAGAATGGTGGTTGCCAGGGGATGGATAAAAGGCAAAAGGGGGAATTTTGCTTCACTGGTTTGGAATTTCAGTTGTAAAAGATGAAAAAGTTCTGGAAATTGGTTGCCCAATGACGCAATACTTAAAAGGACAGAACCATATGCTCAGAAATGATTAAGAGGCTAAATTTTATGTCGTGTATTTTACCACAATAAAAATAATTAGAAGATAAACAAACACGTACTCTTCTCAGAAATGTTAGAGCCATCTACTATGCACTTCCCCCATCATTCTGTGTTAGCATCACAGGCTCTCCACTGCAACAAAAGTTAATCAGTGTTCTGAATTTTGTGAGATTTAAATAATAGAATAACTTTGATCAAGCCAAGCATGCAATTACCTGGGTCAGTAGCAGAGATAATTGCTCCAAAAAACAGGCAATCTGTATAGTAAAATTTATCAGAGAGTTGGCCCACAATCTTCATGAGTTTCACCACACCATACATGAGATTTCTGCAAGAAGGTAAGTAAACTATGTCAGGGAAGAACTCTTGCAAACATACAAGCAGAGTACTAGAGTATTAGCAGAACATTGTACTTGACAGATTTATAAAAGTAATAGGTAGCTTTTATTGTTAGACACTTACCAGGACTTTGGCATCAAGTAATGGTTTATCGTTAGTACTACCTTGCAGAAGCACCTGAACATTTCTTTTTTGTTTGTTCGTTTGTTTGCTTGAGGGGAAAAGAGGGGGTGAAAACAAAGTCATATAGCCTACAATGGCCTCAACGCACTATGCAGCAGCAGAGGATGACCCTCTGCCCGTGCTGGAATAACAGGTATTTGTCACCACACCTGTTTATGTGTGCTGGAGATCAAATTCAGGGCTTTGTGCATGTTAGGAAAGCACTGTACCAACTGAACCACACACTCACCCCTGAATATTTCATTCTTTTTAAAAATTTTTAGTACATCTATTTATTTACTTGTGTGTATGTATGTGTAGGTGTGCGATGCCCCATGGCATGGCTATAAGTGGAAGTCAGGGGATGACTTGTGGGAGTCTGTTCTATCCTTTCACCATGTGCGTCCCAGGAATCGAACTCAGGTCCTCAGGTTTGGCAGCAAGCATATTTCCCTGCTGAGCCATATCACCAGGCCTCCGAATATTTCATTCTTAAAGGTTGCTAACAACCATAGCAGCTGTGAAGTATGGCCTTCAACTTAGTGACAAACTTAAAGCATCTTAAGAAACTGGGTGACAGAGGAGAATGGAAGCTAGAGAGCCTAACACAATATATAATAAACTGCTACTAATGTGGAATTATAAGACATATCTCAAGTCATAGAAATGAGGGGGCTAGGTGAAGCTGAAGAGCTTGACATTACCACCATTTCCATCAAGAATGAATGCAAAGAATGCAAAGATAAAACCCTCTCAAAATACCCTATGAGAATATCAGTGTCCCCCCTGATACATCTGGCCTCTTGCTCCCTTGGGTGAGGCAGGCCTCATCCTTCTTATGTTGGACAGATGTGATACTGTGATATCACAGCAGATGTGATATTGTGATATGTTCTAACAAAGACCACCAAGTTCAATATTTCAGCTTGACTGGTGCACATTTCCTATGTGACAATGTGTTGAAAATAGCTTAGCACGTATTGTGTTGGGTAAGGGGCATGCTAGGGTTGGTAAGACTAAATTCTTGAAGGGGATGTATCTACAACAGTTATCTGGAATTCAGCACAGGAGATTTTTCTCCTTCCTTTGTTTATTTATTCACCTAATCATTTGTGAGTGTGTGTGTGTGTGTGTGTTTGTGTGTGTGTGTGAACTCAGGAATATTTATTTTATACTCTCTGGGTGATAATCTAACATAAAAGTTATTCATTTTGTTGTGTTTCAGCCACTGGTAGGTTCTGGCTATGGTGAGAACGTCCAAGCTGGTTTGAGGGTTACTCTAACTTGTCCTGTATCCTTGTGTCTATCTTTTGAGCACTTGTCTACTCTGGCATTAAAAGATGCTCCATTTTCATGTAAATTTCCCACTTAGGCTCTGGACTAAGAGGCACTGGTTCTTTTTTATCATAGCATGATATAAGAAACTATGATCTACCAATTTTATTTTATTTTAATTAATCTTAATTTTAATTTCAATACCACATGTAGCTAACTATAATACTGGATACAGCAACTCCCTATCCTAATTTCTATCACCACGAACATTAAGATGCTGGACACTGTGCACCATAGTGATATATCTCATCCCTTTGGGAAGTGTGTTAATCTGGATATATGACAAAGACTCACTTACCCAATAATAAAGCAGGAAACAGCAGTCCCCAAGAAAGCATAGGCCAGAATAGATCCAAGATTTCTGAAAAAGTGTCGCTAAATGAAACAAAAAACCTAGGAATTACATAGTGATTTTTTTACAGCAAGCAAAAGAAATACATTAAAATCTCTAAAACTTGGAACTCTATATTGCTCCATTATATCTAGCAATAACAAAAGTTGCTCCTAAATAATGCCATCTAGCCTTAAACATTATGGTTTAAAAATATTCTCTACACTGTCAATCACTGAGAAAGTTATCAAGAGCTTGATAAATTTCAGAGAAAACCATTCTGGCTAATTATGTTAAATTGCCTTAAGTGTATGTGTGTGCATGTGTCTACCTAAACAAACCAATTATTTTTATAGACTGAACCCAAACAAGCTTACTCCATGATCCTGTTAGTCACTTCCAGTGCTAGTGGTATCTTAGAAGATCATTACAGATGTAAGTCTGAAACAAGTATATGTGAAAGTGCCATCTGAGAAGCTTTCTGCTTAACTGATACCAGAAAACAGGCCCCTACATAAATGCTCATGGGACTTGAAGTACCTCCTTATAGTCATCTGGTTTAACCTTTGCAGCCTCAGTAAGATGGAGAAATGAGAATGGTACTTAAGTTCCATTCAATATGGTCAAGTTTGTATAGGAAGAAACTTACAACCAATGTAAGATGTAGCAATTATTCAGAAAGAGGCAGAGCTGCAATATCCCGTTGACAGTGCTGTACATTTACAAACCACCTTAAAAATGAACGCACACAAACTCACATATTTATTTTCACAAGTCCCTAGGTTTATGGGATCTTCTGATGGCAAGAAAAGTTAAGCCTGTTCTGGAGATCTTTTACCAGTAGGCAAAAGTTATTCCTACTTGAAATTCAAAACTATTTAATAATAAAAGCAGAAAACCAAAACCCTGCAAACACCCTAATAAACAGAGAACAAGAAAACTTTATCTTAAAAAAATCATTAAAGGCAGCAAAGACTCAGTATGCCAGCTGAGCATTTGGTAAAGAGGGCACAGAGAGCTACCATGAAGTATGAGCAGACAAAGTGCTGCAAGTGGCCTCTGCCCTAGGTCACACCAGGTCTAAGACCATGGTCTCATCTTTCCACAAGAATACCTACTGCCCTTAAGCAAGTTGTGCAGAAAAGAATTCTTCAGGGGCATGTCATCTGCACATCTGCAGATGGCACTGCAGATAGCACTGTTGTCTTTTTTTTAAGCTAGTGCATTTACATATCAATGTTTTTCAAAATAATAGATTAAAAATATCAACAACGTGATTCCCTTTAAAGTTCCATTAAGGAGGTTTATGAGATGGCTCAATGAGCAAAGGTGCCTGCCACCCAACCCGACAACCTGAGTTCAATCTCCAGGACCCACATAGTGGAAGAAGAGAACTGACTCCTGCAAGGTGGTCTGTGATGTGATCTCCACTTGTGTGCCATAGTACCCACACAAAATAAATAAAAATGCAATTAAAAAGTTCTATTAAGGGCTAATATGCAGAAGTACTAGGAGTATATCAAGGACCAATGGCACATATGTGAAATACCCAGGAACAAATTCTAATAGAAGCATTCGCCCTTGCCACGCAGCTATCTTCAGGGAAACTATTTCAAGGGTTAATAGAAACATAGATTAAATAAATTCATATTGATATTAGCTAAAGCACAAAACTAGAAATGTAAATCTATACCAAAAATTCATTCATAATATATTCTAG